GCTTCGGCTCGAGGCCCAATATGGTCGCCCACTCCCGCGCCCACAGCGGCGCCAGGCCTTTCGCCTGCGCGCAGTGCGGCCGCCGCTTCAGCCGCAAGTCGCACCTGGGCCGCCACCAGGCGGTGCACACGGGCAGCCGGCCCCACGCCTGCGCCGTCTGCGCCCGCAGCTTCAGCTCCAAGACCAACCTGGTGCGCCACCAGGCCATCCACACGGGCTCCCGCCCCTTCTCCTGCCCGCAGTGCGGCAAGAGCTTCAGCCGCAAGACCCACCTGGTGCGGCACCAGCGCATCCACGGCGAAGCCGCCCACCCGACCTCCGACGCCGACCTCTCGGCCCCAGCCTGGCCCACTCCCACAGAGGTGGCAGCGCCCCCGCTCTTCTTCTGAGCCTGGTTCTCGTCGGGACCCTTCCTTGGCTCGCTGGTTGGAGAGACCCAGGCCGGAGATCTTCTGGGCAGTGAGCACGACGGCCTGGGCCCCTGACGGCTGCTCTTCCCTCCGTCTCTTGCTGGAGAGAAGTTGGGAGAGGGTAACCGGTTTGGACATTGAGACTAAGACGGTGCTCATAACGAACCCTTGCCGGGAACAGTTCAGGCCTGAGTCCTGGGAAGACTCCCAGCAACGGACCCCTTCTGAAAGCAGACATTTCTTGGACACGCCCCTACGCACACACGTGCGCTGCGCGCATGACCAAGAGCTGACTGGGTCAGGAACCTCTACTGGGGGGGGGGGGGGGGGGGGGGGGGGCGAAAGAATGGTTATCTGTGTACTTAAAGTGTCATTAAAATTAAAATAGAAGGGTCCAGGGCTGTTAAATGAGCACAGGGTGGGAACCCACCACCCCACCTTAGTTCTCCCACAGAGGACCATCCCTTCCTATCCTGGGTGAGCTAAATTTAGCCAGGTGCTGGTCATGGGCGGTACCAAATGAAAATATAATATCGCTCACTGCTAAACCACTATCCTGCTCCCTAGTTCTTACTCAAACATTTGATGGAAGAAACATTAACATAGATTTCTCATGGCAGGTGTTGACGCTAGACCTGTAGGAGATGCACAGAGGGGCCGGGTGCCCTTTGGCCATTCCCATGGAGACAGCGGCCACCCTGGGCCCTGGAGCTCTCCCAAGGGGATCTGGAAACAGCAGCCCCACCTGCCACCCTGCCTGGCAGCGTGAGGAAGGACATCAACAGCAGACGAAGGTTGCTTTTCCATCACCATTTCTCCTAAATTCTGTCTCCATGATGGACGCTTGATCCAAACGTCTCTGTAGCTGTGCTTGTGCAACTGGGCAGGCTGGCTGGTGGGGAAGGGGAGGGTAGGATGATGGGGAACATGCTGGGCGTGGTGAAGGCTTGGGTCTGACCCCTCCTGTGCCTCTCGTAGGATTGGGGGCAGAGCATTCATTTTTCTGGGCCTCTGCTTTCTCGTCACAAGATCGTTGGTGTCGATGAGGGCTGAGGCGATTTCCATCA